GCCCCCAATGTCGCCCCTGGTTCTGCCCCTGCGTTCCACTGCGGCTGCTGCTGGCCCAGCATTTTCCTTCATGCCAGGCGGTGCTGGCTGCTGCCAGCCCAGGCGTGGGGGCAGCAGGGGGTGCCTCTGGGGCACACCCATTGCAGGCGTCTCCACATTCAGGGTACGGTGGAGGTGGTGGGGGTGTGGCGTCAGGCGGAGGAGCAAGAGCAGGGCAGAATGTTGCAGCAGCAGCAAATGGGTCTACAGCGACTGGGCAGCTTCTCAAGCTCTCAAGGCCCAGGGCCTCGTGAGATAGCGGGATGCCGCACAAGGCGGCTCGATATGCCGTGAGTGCGCTTGCGGGTATAGTGATGTTCCAACCGCTGTTGATTTTATTAGAAAGGGCCTTGGCTTTGTCTGGAGCCCATTGGTGGCTATTAGAGGCTATTAGAGTGTAGAATACGTGTTTGATTTGATGTTATAAGCTTCAGTCATTTTGTGTGAAGCAACGTAGCGTAAAGCGCGCACCATAGCGCGGGCTGGCAAGGATGGGCTGGTCCAGTGGGACTGTGATCCAAAGACAGCTGTGCGCAGCTGTTGTGTTTGTCAATGACCAACGAGCGACACGATGTGGCGCTTGTGCTCAACGAATAGAAATTGTTTGCGGCGCGGCTGCCTTTGTTACTTCACTACGTGCCACTCATCACCACAGGCCACAGGGTCAAAGGCTGACTCTGTTCAGGTGTTGCTGGAGTGCGCTCGCCATGCCCCGAATATTTTATTGTCTTTACTTTTCCGGATCTCCTCCTCCACGAACTCCACCTAAGGACTTGGCCTAGACCGCCTCTGATTGCCTCGATCAGAGGCGATCAATAACTTCCAGGAAGCCCCTATGCCGATTTCAGGCAATCAGGGGCAATCAACTGATTCGCGATCAATTGATCGCCCCAACTCAATCAACCGCCTCAAACACCCCAATCAATCACGATCACACACAATCAGTCACGATCAGTTGATTGACATGGGATGGGGGATCCTTGCGACGCTTGCGAAAAAATTACAGTTTCTCGTTGAGATCGTCACACAATCGCGCAAACATTAACTTAAGTGTAATTTGCGAGATTACGTGGAAACAGAAAATTCGCAACGTCTTCGCACTCGCCAAAATTGGGACGAAAGAATCAGGAAATGCTGACACGCTTGCGAGGCAGGCGCCTTGAGTTTTCCAGGAATATTCAGCACTGATCGGGCGGCGCGAGCAATGCAATCAGAAGCAACCCGATCAGATCCAACCCGATCAGATCAGCGCCGATCAGAGGCGGTCTGGGCCACGTCCTAAATCAAGTGCACTTGAATAGCCCAACCTGTGAAGTGATCTCTCAGTCTGGCACTTCGAGTGAGTACGATGTGCCCACGCAACACCCATTCATCAATGGAACACATCTCTCAACGTTCCAACCACAAATCTTCCCAAAAAGTTCCTTGTGCGGTTGCGTACTCTTTCCAAAAAACGGTGGTACTGTAGCATCACCCAGATTTGGGTTGGGTAGTTCCTTCCTCCAGACCTCGTGAATTCCAAGGGTCTTTTCATAAATAACATGTTTTGATCTAAGCGGTTTGCTTCAAACCGCGTGAACTTCATACAACCTTTGACTTCTGTGTAATGCGTGCATCTGGTATGGAGAGAAATGGAAATTCAGAGCTGTAGCTAACACCCTCACTTCTTCCACTTGCATGTCGCTTCACTCTGGGAGGCATCTTGCACAGTTTACAGTGCCTCCACACCTGACCAGATTCTCCACAAACAGTGCGCCACTGTGTGCTCTCCCCTCCCCCCTCAGTTGTGAACACACTGTACGCATGTCTGCATTGTGGTGGGGCTGATGGTCTTTGGCATCATACTTCCCATCCACACTGAAATCGTCAGTTTCCTTAGTTTCCGAATAGAGTTGACCAATTAGGCATGGCAGAAACCGAGGCCTCGCCGCATATCACGGCGTCGCTCGACGCGTATGTGTTGCGACCGTTGCAGCGCGCTTCGTCCATCATGGGGTCGGGGGATCTTTGGCAACGCGCCGCCGACATGATGAAGTCGTCGCGGCGCACGGCTGCTCTGTTGCGAGCACCGCTGCGACGACGACGAACGAAGGGGCTGCGACAGGAAAGAAGTGGAGCGTGATGGGGTCCGACTGCGCGCAAGGTGCAGCGGATGCTGTTTGCGGACAATCGGACAAATCGGCGGCTTCTATCGCAGACAGAAAGAACAAGCGCCTGCTGCCGTCGCTGCTCTCGAGCGCTCGCCGTCAGGAGGCGCGCCGAACAGGACTTGAGTTTGCGGGTCGGCAGCTGTCGCGTGGAGAGCGCCGAGAGCGTTGCGGACGATGGCGGAGAGGACGGCGCGGACCCTCTACCGACGAAGCGCCTCGTTTCAGCACTTGGCGGTCGATTCTTATCATGGCGAAATGGCTGGACGGGAGGCGACGAGCGTGGACGAGCGAGAGGATTCGGAACCCGGCGGCGCGGATCCAAATCGCCGTGCTGATTGTGATCTTCCAGAGGGGCGTGCGGAAGGCGTCCGATTTCATTTCGTTGTCCCCGCGCGCGACGAGTGCGACGAATGCGACGGGTGTACCAGAGGGCGTAGACCGACCGTGTTCTGTAAATAAGCACTCAGCATCGCCGCCCGAAATCAAACAGCTCACGCGACAGAATCGTATCGGCGCCGCCTCGTCCCCGTGCGCCCGCAGACAGCCCCCCAGCAAGAGCGCCGCTTCCCCCCGTTACTTCGACGCGCGTGATCCCATTTTTTCCCGACGCAAGACCGCGCCAGTAGCCCCTGCCGTGCTGCGCGAATCGGGTGCTGCCTCGGGCGAGCTCAAGCCGCAGCTCGCCGACGAGCCGCTTCTCGCCTCCGCCTCGGATTGGTCAAGCGCCGCGCTTTCCCTTGTTGCGCCCCCCCCTCCACCCATTGACACGCCCCCCGCGCTACCGTTACCATCCCCCTGTCGTTCCCCGGCCCCCCAGCAGCGACGGAGTGGGGAACAGAAGCGGCAGGTTGAGGGCGGGAAGGGGGCGCGCGGGCGGAAGGGCGGGGGGAAGGGCTTCGAGTGGATGTGGCAGGCAGGCGCCAGCGGTCAAGGCACAGTGATGAGCTGGCATGGGCGGAGGCGCTAGGGGGGCAGGGGCTGGTGCGGAGCAAGACAGCGGAGAGAGATGCGGGCGCGAGGGGTGCGTACAGGCGGGGAAGTGGCTCGTGTGGGGCGGACAATCACCACCTGTCGGCCTCTTGGGACTGCGAGGGGGAGATTGGCATGGGGAGGGAAGACAAGGGGGCGTTCCCTGTTAGGGTTGAGAGCTTGGACGAAGCAAGTTGGGGGAGTGTTTTCGGGGAGGAAAGGCAACCCTCATCGGGAGGAAGGGTGCCTATCACTGCGGTGAGCCCTCGGGTGGTGAGGTTCAATTTCAAGCAGCACATGCAGCAAGTAGCACTCGCTGCAGCACGTGATGAATTGGCCCAATAGGTGTGATAAATGATTATCCAGCGCGTTTGCTCTACGTGTTGCTAGCTGTCCGTAGTAGGCATATGTTTCTCTATGTAAGAATCATTTTAGGTGAAAATAGGGCCAATTTTTGTAACAATGCTTACAACCCGAGGTGCTTCGCCACAACAGCGATCAGATCAAACATCGTGTGGAGGAAGCCAGAATCCTCGCCAAACCCAAGTCTGTCGCATAGTTCGTCAAGTCGCAACCCACCGGGTGCTCCCGCAATCGAACGGTTGAACGTCATTCGCCGCAATTGAACACGATCACAGCTTTCCGTTCGTTAGTCCTCCCCTCCAAGTTCCATCCATCTCGGAGCGTCCCTCGATTCTACTTCAGTTGCTCTGCTCGCATTCGTTCCGATTGCCGGCGAGTTCAAGGGCTGGAACGACGAGCTGAAGCAGATCCATATATTTCTTGCGAGGCTGGTCAGGTCATTGATAATGCTTCGGGAGAATAAAGCAGCAGCAGCTGTGTCAAAGCCGTGATCCATATTGTATTTTGAGCATCATAGCATTGGCAAATAACTCAAGATGATTTTTTCAAGGTGCCTAGCCTGAGCGTTTGTGTGCTGCGTCAGTTGGTCCAGTACCATGATCCCAACCATGCTCTCTGCATAACCAACCCTGCTCGCTCCAGCGCTAGACCTAGAAGTCTAGCACGCGAAAGTAACGCGCGTTGCCGCGCTGATGGAACGGCCGCGAGGAAGCCTCGAGGACTTGAGCGTCGCGTCGCCGTGCTCGCCCGGCGCCGACTACCACTCCGCGCCCGAGCTCAGAGGCCGCGCTTCCACGCCCGCCTCTGCGCCGAGCACTAGCGCGAGAATCCACGTATTTGACGGTTGGAGCCCGACAGGTTGGAGAATGACCGGTTGGAGACTGACCGGTTGGAAAACAGCCGGTTGGAGCCCGGCAGCTGCAGCTTGAGCGACGGGGAAGGAAGCGAGTCGCAGGCTTTCCTCTCCGCGTTGGTCGCCGCCGCAGTGAGTGATCCTGTCGCCTCCGCTTCGCGAGTCGTTAGACATGGCGTGCCGCGATTCTCAACAGCCGTATTTGTTCACGTGGCCGGACACTTGTCATGGTTAGGATGGGTGGGCGTGCTGTGCTGTGCTGTTTGGGCTGAAATCTCAAGTGTTAGAAGCTTTACGTGCAATCCCTTCGCCTGAAACATTTCAAACCGCGAATACAATCCGAACCCCTCACGCGTCCAGCGCAGGACGAGGCGATGACTCGCGGGCCGTATCGTCGTGGTCACAGTCGCGCAAGTCCCGGCCGTCGCCACGGCACGCGCGGAGCAGTAGCTGGGGAGGCAGCGGGTGGGGAGGCAGCGGGTGGATATGCAGCGCGTTGGATCCCAGCGGAGCGGCATGCTGTTTGGTGGAGCCGTGCCGCGCCATCTGCTCGCCCAAGTTCTTTTTGGCAGGTCACGTGGCCTCCTAACATGGCCCTCATATGATTGCCCTCCCTAACATTGGGAATGGGGTTGGCGCGATTTGTGCTGCAAGGCAAGGATGGGGGCTTGTTCCTCATGCGCCGTCTCCCCCTCCTCCATCCCCCTCTCTTCCCCCCTCTCCCCCTCCCTTCCCCTCCTCTCCCCCCTCCCTCCCCGTTACTCCCCCCTCCTGCCCGCTCGCTCGGTGCAGCGCAGGTGGCGTCAGTGGCGCAGTGGTGCACATTCAACATTATCATGATCCTCGTCAACAACGAGATCTTCCAGGTGCCACCCCCACCCCCGCCACTCACCTCACTCCCCTCCCCTCCCATCACTTCTTGTTTGCATGCCTGTCGTGTCTGCCTCTCCACTGTACCCCGCCTCATTTCCCTCCGCCCCTCGGCCCCTCATTCCCCGCTGCCCCGTGTCTCTCTGCCCCGCTGGGCGCCCCGCACCCCCGCCCCCCCTGGCCCTGATCCCCCACCTGCAGCGGTACGGCTTTGCCTTCCCGCTCACGCTCACCGCCATCCACTTCGCGCTCTCATTCGTCGGCGCCTTCACGGCTATTGAGGTCAGTCGTGCCTCCCGCGCCCCCTCCTTCCACTCGCTCATTCCATTTGACCTACGCCACTCCCATTAGACCCCACACATCACTCGCCTCTCACAGCCTCTCGCCTCGTGCCCCTGCCCCCACGGCCCCCACCTCCCATCGTGTCCATCCTGCGTTCGCCCCTCTTCCGTGGGCCCCAGGGCGGCAGTCCAGGCGCAGGCCATGCTTGCCGCGGGGTCATGCCATGCCACCCAACACGATTCCCGAGTCCATTCAACTCAAATATTACCGCCAATCTCCACCCTCCCCTGCTGTGCCATCACCCCGTTGACCATCGCGTGGCACCCCACGCGGAGCAGATCCTGCAGGTGTGTCCCAAGGCGGAGGTGGAGGCGGGGGAGATGGTGGCGTGGGTGATGCCCATGGCGGTCGTCACCTGCTTCAACGTGGTGCTCGGCCAGCTCTCCCTGCGCTACGTGCCGCCTGCCCGCCCTCCTCTCCACCAAGGCCCTCTCGCCCGGCCTCACAGGTGCGCTGTGCGCATCACTCCATGCCAAGCGCGCTCAATTCTCACGGGTTATGTGCCCTTCCACATTTCACCTCCCTCCCTTTCCCCGTCCCAGACCTCCAACCCCTAACTTCCCTCTCCTCTCCTCCCTCCCCCCACCCCCGCCCCGCTCGCGCCAGTGGCTATCCAGGCGCTGGCGCTACAGGCGGAGTACGACTGGCGGCTGTGCCTCTCGCTGCTGCCGGTGATGGCGGGGGCCATGCTGGCCTACGCGCCCTCCGTGCACTTCGCGCTGCCCACGTTCCTGTCGGCGCTGTGCTGTGTGGTGCTGGGCTGTGCCACTGTCATCTGTGCCGAGGTGCTGCTCAAAGGCAAGCAGTACAGCCTCGACTCCCTCAACGCCGTGAGCCCTCACCCCCCTATCTCCCACCTCGCCACCCCCTGACTTCCCTCTCGTCTCCTCCTCGTCCTTGCACCTGATGATGGTTTAGTTGACTTTACAATCGCCAAGGTGCTGCGCATATAGAAGCACTACCGCCTCGAATCCATCAGCACCGTCAGCCCCCAACCTTAGAAAAGGGAAGCTCCTTGCGTCTTCCCTCACTCATCGACCTCTCTCTCCTCCACTCTTCCCTCTTTGTCTCCCCTTCCCCTCTTCTCTTGGTTTCCCGCTTCCTTACCCCCTCCATTCCGCCCTTTCCTGTTTTCATCGTTGTCAGCTGTACCAGCTGGTGCCGTACTCGGCGCTCATTCTTGCGCCACCAGCAGCAGTGCTGGAGGGGTGGCAGCTGTGGGGGTGGTTCATGGCTCAGGCCAACCCCTGGCCCGCTGTCATCGCCATCCTCATTAGTGGCTGCTTTGCTTTCTGCCTCAACTTCTCCCTCTTCTACACGATTCAAAAGACCAGGTAAGTCGCCCCTTCCAGCAGCCTCTCTGCAGCTTTGCATGCCACCACCACCGTCACTCCTCGGCACCGTGTGCACTTGAATGCCCCATGCCCTTGACCTCCAGCGTGTGCAAACCGTGCAAGTCACGCATTGTCTCATATTCCCCCAGCAACCCGAAACTCATGCTGCCTTCCCTGCTCCATGGCGTATATGCATCCATACCTTTTTCCCAATCCCTCACCCCCCTCCCACGGCTTGCGCCCGCACCAATGGCCCCGGCCCCATGGCAGTGCGCTGACGTTCAACGTGGCGGGATCTGAAGCTGGTGGATAACTCCATCTCTCCTGGCTGCTCTTCCGCACATCCTGGCCTCAGCCTGCCGCGACTCTGCTGGTGTGGCTACTGGTTGGCGCTGGGCATTTTCCAGCAGCACAGTGGAGATTTGAGATCGCCCTCTGCGCAGGTTAGGGTGGAGCAGGAGGCTAGTGACGACATTGTGCAGGTGTACCTAGGAGCCATGCTGTAACAGTTGCTGATATGTAAATTCTCGGCTTCTCAATTCTGTAGAATACTAAGCTGTGGTCTATGATATGCCGTACATTTGTAAGGTGTATAGCCGAATGGGAAGCACTGACCCCCTTAGGCGGAGATATCCTCATTCAAACGTCACTTGTTAGCAACGATACCGCACGCACGAGCCATACAGTGCAGCACACAAGCTTTCAGAAGAAGTTGCGGTTACACGGCAGCGGGTGCCAACCCTGGCATCGCTTGTCGTGCCCATGCCGACTGCCACCGACTGCAAACGGACAAGCGGCTCACATTGCTGACTGCATTTGCCGCGTGAGGCGCTGGCGAATGACATTCGGCAGACGGAAGTTACAGGAGTGCTTGTCGCTTGTCGCGCGTGGTGCGCCATTGGCCTTTCGTTGCGTCGCACCTTCCAGGGTAGCATGGACACGCACAGCACGCGCCGAGCACGACCTCCGCATAGCATGGCACAGAATGGTACAGGACAGTCAGCCAGAAGCATGCGGGTGTCGGTTGCTAGTCAAGGAACTTCTTCGCGCGGATGAGATGTGTGTTGAAATTGGGGAAACAGACGCACTCTTCGTCCTCATCTCTGGTGAACGGAAACTGGCGCTCTTGAGTTTCCTTCCCATTCTTCCATACAGATCAAGTTGCTATTGTCAGAAGCTAGCTGAGTGTCTCAACGCTACAGATGGCCTCCGCGGATGTGATACGCATTAGCGAGTGCAAGGCGGCAGTCGTTGCTAGGCTTCGGAATCTCGACGCCGCGGAATGGGGAATGCTGTGGGAGAACGCGGCGGCGGCGGACGAGGAGGAGGAGGAAGAGCCGTTGGAGCAAGTGCCGCACAGCGCGCCGTTTTCTCTGTCAAGCCCATGACAGGGGCTGCTGGGGCGATCAGTGCGAGGCGGAGCTGGGCGTGGCGCGAGAAGATGAGGTCGTTCGGTCGACAATTAATGCCGCGGCGGCGCGCGAGCTGCGACGACCTGAACGTCGCAATTGCGACGGCTTCTGTAACGCCGGCGAAGCGAGCGAAATCGTTTCCAGAGTCGAAGGAGCGCGGCAACGAGAAGGGCGCGAGGCGCGGGCGGTCGCGCGCGGACAGCCGGGGCGTGTGGCGGAGCGTGTACGAGCCGCGGTGGCTGGAGGAAGGGCTGGCGGAAACCTCTGGGGACGACGAGCGGCGACCGCACGGCGCAAATCGCGACGAAATGGGAGTGCGCAACGACACGGCGCAGCGCGCGGGGGAATCAGGGTTCGCGGGCAGGGAGGGTTCGGCGCGCTACCAGCTGTTGCGACATAACTCGCTTCCCTGCGCGTGTGCCTCGCAAAAGGTTTCGCCGACCCTGCCGCGACGCGCGTCGGTGATGCATGGCGATAGCAGCGCTGAGCGTTCTGCGTGTTCCGTCGCAGCAGCGAAGGATCGGCCGTCGTCGTCGTCATCGTCTCAGCACAGGCGCTCCCCGTCTTTGCTCGTCATCCCCCCATTCCTCCCCTCCTGCCTCCCCTCGCCCTCGCCCAGTGCCGCTCCTTGGCGCACTGCCCCCTCCACGCCGCCAACCCCCATCCCCGTGCTCCGCGGTGACTCCGCCGCCCCTTCGGAATGCAGCCCCACCGGCGGAGACGCCGGTGTCTGCTCGCCTGCCGATTCCAATGACAGCAGCGGCGGGAGGCGGAACACCGGAGCAAAGCGAGCGGATGGGCGCACGTCGCGAAGAAGCCCCGCGGAAGGGTGGACTCTTTCGAGCGGCACACCAACAGAGGGCGGACAATCGAGCGCGAAATGGCGATCCGGTGAAAGAGGATGGCGGCATAACATTCTGAATGCGTTGAGTAGCCCGAGGAAGCACGCGAAGGACGTGTGACGGCTGTTCGCTTGCCGCACGGGTCTCATGAGTCGCGACTCGAATTACTGAAGGACGATGCCAGATTGGCATGGCAAAGCATCAGATGCCCCAATAAATGAATCCGCGAATATTGATAAGTATCTTGTCAGTTGTTCCGTAACGCATGTCTATGTACATCAAATACTGTACATGATTGTACCATAATAATAACAAATTGTGCACCTTCATAACGAGGTTGCCAACAACTTGCGCCGCCTCATCCCAAGTAGAAATTGGAACTAAAGGTTTTGCTTTGCGCGCCTGTCGCGCGTAGCGCAACTATCACCTCACCGCAAGCCCCATTCCTCACCACAACACGAGTCTGCAGTTGTCGCTTCGTCATCGCTGCTTTCTGCCAGCGCAACTCGCGGTACAGCTCTCGCTGTATTTGCAGTAGAATGAGCGCGGCGGATTCTCGCGGGGATAGCGTAGCATGAATTGACGCCTCCTGCGCACATCCGCGCAGCACTCACCGCACTCCCCACTCCAGCCTACCGCTTCGAGCCTCGATTATGGCGACGCCGCGACTCACGGCGAGGCCGCCGTCTCCGTTCGTCCCGGCGGGCAAGAGTGGATTGTGCTGCAAGTGCCACGTGGCGCGCGTGTACGCGCTGATGGTCTTCGTCAGCCTCCTCGCGCTGCTCCTCTTCCTCTTCGTGCCCTGGGCCGCGTCGCACGGCGCCATCCGTGCGACTGCTGGCGACGCTGTCGCCGTCGCAGAAGCAGGAACGGGGGGTCGTGTGCGAGGGAGGGGTAGGGGTCCGCAGCTCGAGCGCGGGGATTCGTTGCATTTTGGGGGGAATGGGGGGATTGCGGAGAGCGCAATGCGCATGGGCGGAGAGCAGGCGGACGTGATTCGGGAAAAGGCAGTGACCATGGCGGACGCTGCTGACGCTGTAGCGAGTAGCGAGGCTGCTTTCAAGGGAGATGAAGCATTGGCGGGGAGTGCGGGGGCGGCGGAGGAGATGGAAGAGGGGGCGGAGAGAGGAACCGATGGGGGAGAGGCGGAAGGAAAGGGGGAAGGAGGGCAGGGAGGGGAGGGCGGGGAAGGAGAGGAGGGAGGAGGAGGGGCGGGAGGGGAGGTGCCGATGCCTCTGCGGGTGTACATGCTGCCACTGACAGGCGAACTCAATTTCCACGTGCTGCTGGTACGACCACCCGCCACTCCTCAGTATTGCACAGCACACACACCCTTCCGTCTCTCCTTGTCACCAGTCCCCATGCCGCCCCATGCCATGCGCCACTGTGAGCGCCCACCATACCCACCTCCTCCCTTTCTCCCGCGCCCACCCTCCCCCCACACGCTGCCTTCCATCTCCCCCTTCTCTCCCCACGCCCCGTCAACAGCAACGGTGGCGCTTTGCGAACCGGGAGCAGCTGCAGCTGCAGCACGGCATGCCGGCGGACTGGCGGTTCAAAGGCAACTCGCTGCGGCCGCGGGCGGACGGCGACGTGCTGGGGTTCATGGTGCAGGACGACGGGTGGGTGGAGGACGGCCAGGGGGAGGGCGGAGGGGGAGGCGGAGGAGGGGGTGGAGAGCGGTCGGTGCAGGTGCCGCAGTTTGTGGAGGGGTTTGGGGTGCACATAGAGCAGTACGCAGCCGAGTACTGGCTCACTCTTTCCCTGCTCGCCGGCGGGCTGCCCTCCGTGCAGCGCGTGCGGCGGGCTGAGGACGCCCACATTGTCTTCGTGCCGGCCTTCTCCTCCGCCTTCTATGCCACTCAGATGAAGACGTGAGTCAGTGCCGCCCGGTTCGTACTCGTTTGCGTGCGTTTGTGACAGCCTGCCACGTGGTGCAAGCAGTGTCTCCGTGGAGAAAGCATCCTGGCTTGGCTCGCTTCCTGTGTGCTCCTTGTTCGTGTCTTCCCTCCCTCTCCCACCTCCGCTTCTGCCTGCTTTTCTCCGCCCTCCCTGGCCCCCCAAGGCAGCAATGAGAGGCGGCGGCGGCGGCACGGGGGACGAGGGAGGAGCAGCACTTGCTGGCAGCGGTCACGCAGCACGCGCTGTGGGGGGACGGGGGCGGGCAGGGAGGAGGGGCCAGCCAGGGGGCAGAGGGGCAGCCGGGGGAGGGCGAGCTGCTGGAGAAGGTGGAGGTGTCGACTGGGGAGGGCTCACCTGGTGGTGGTGGTGGTGGTGGTGCCGGGGAGGCTGGCGGCAGCAGCAGACGACGACTGCTGAGGGTGCTGAAAGGGGGACGGAAGGGGAAGGAAGCAGAGGCGGGCGAGCAGGCGCAGAACGCACCGGTGGAGGGTCAGCAGGGACCACCCGATGGTGGGGCTGGAGAGGCTGAGAGGGCCGATGCAGCAGAGAGGTCGCAGAGCGAGGGAGGCAAGGGGGGCCTTGTGTCTCGGCGGCGAGATTTCCTCATTCCAGCAGTGCACCCGCATGCACTGTCGACGGTGCGGCATGAGGTGGCAGCAGCGCACATGCTGATGGTGGACTTGAGCCAGCCCGCGGGAGCAGGTGGCGCATTTAGACAAGGACGTGCTCGTGCCCTACTCCGCCCTCATCCCGCCCTTCCTCAACGACTCGCTGCCGGGGGAGACAGAGGGCGGGCACGGCAGTGTGGGAGCGGCGCAGGCTGTGGCAGCGTGGGGCCGCACGGCCCACTCTGATATTCTTCAGAGGCACGCTCAACCGGCAACAGGTGTGCATGCGAGCTGCAGAGAGGGATGCAATGCAGGTCGGACTAGCCTGCCTCAACCAGTGCCATTGATTCCCTCCCTTGAGCCACTCACCCACCCCGCCCGCGCGTTGCCCCTTCAATCCGGTCTCCTCCCTCTTGGCCTCTCCCCCACCTCCTCCCCTGCGCTGCATCAGGGAGGGGCCATGCGAGTGCAGCTGGCGCGGCTGCTGGCGAACGTGAGTGGGGCGGACATAGCGGAGGGTCGCCGCTGCAGGGAGGGGTGCAGGCGGCCACAGCAGGCATGCGCGCCTCCAAGTTCTGCCTCGTGCCTGAAGGTCGCCTCTGCTCTCCCTCACCTTCTTCTGCCACTGCTCGCCCTCCTCCTTCTGCTTACGTTGCTCACTACAATGATCTTCCTTCCACATACCATGCAAACCTGCAATCTTGTTCGTGGCTGGCCATGCTTCCCTTTCTTCCCCACCTCGCGCGAACTCCCCCTTGACCTTCCTCGTACTCACCCTCCCTCTCCCTCTCCGCCCTCGTACTCACCTCTCCCTCTCCCTCGCCAGGCGACACGGCATCATCATGCCGGCTGTTTGACGCCGTGCTATCGCACTGCATCCCGCTGGTGGTGTCGGACTCACTCGACCTGCCATTCGAGGAGGCCCTCGACTACACCGCCTTCGCCCTCTTCCTCCCACAGGCCCTCGCCCTCCGCCCCGGATACGTCGAGGCCTTCCTGCGAAACGTGTCGCACGAATCAGCATTCGCCATGTGGCAGCGGCTGAGAGAGGTGTGTGGAAGGGGTGAGGGGTGTGGTGGTGGGGGGCTCTCTGTCATCTGAACTCTGGTTCAAACCATCTCCCTTCCAGCGCATCATCTGCCTCCAGCTTTCACCCTCAGCTTTCACATTTGCAAATTCTGCCACCATATTCCTCCCCCTCTCCCCCTCCCCTCCCCCCCATCATACACCCTGGCAGGTGGCACACCACTTTGTCTACTCCACGCCGCCCAAGCCCGGAGGGGCGGAGGACATGATCTGGCAGGCTGTAGCGCGGCGGTGGGCAGGGGACCACTACGGGCGGCGCTACAACCGGAAGAACCAAAGGAGGCGGAGGAGGGTGATGGAGCAGCTGTTGGGAGCGAGAAGGGGCTCAGCGCTGCTCACATTGTGGTCAGACCACGCGCGCTGCCACTCATGTAGCATTTCTTTGGGGTTTGCCTGTCTTGTGGCTGGTAAACTCACTGTATATTCTCATGCGTTTTAGTGCATGTTCCTGCGCCTCTTATCGGTATCATACGCACCTTTGTCAGACTTGTGCGGTACAATGAG